ACTTGATCCGCAATATACGTCCTGAATAAACGTGCTCCATGCTGCACGTCTGTTTCCTTTATACCTGGGCTATAGCTTAGCTGGTTCTGGAAGTCTAGCTAGATGTAGGAGGATCTGCCATAGAGATTTCTGAGTCAGTCATGCTTTACTAAGGTAGCAATCCGCCACAGGTCCAGCAGGTCCGTTAGTTTTTGTTTGCATTTTCTTGCGACTAAAGTAGAATTGAGTAGAAGTGAATGTGAAATACTGAGAATTCTAATAGAGAAGCTTGTAATTTACAGCCTCATAAGTTTGAACTTTCGCTCGTATTTCTGATAAACGTTGATTAGACTTGTGCAGATTTTTATTCAGGCATGAGCAAGAATAGTGGGTGGGTTTCAGTGACGAAAGGGGTTAAGAATAGATGAAATGGTTATCAAAGAGTTCATCAGTGATCTTAGTGACTATAAATTATTAAACATAACTGCTCACTTTATCAGCTGTTAATTTGTTTTGACGTAAGTGAATCTGGAGATTCCATGATTGAAGAGAAAAGCTGAGAATTTTTTACTTTGCTCTGAAAGCACATGTCATCTGACTACTAATGTAATTTTACCTGATCAATAAGGTCATTAAAACCTGTGACGACAATATTTCTTCATTCTATAACCGGCAAAACACCATACCAATTGTTTAAATTGAGGTAATTCGGACGCCAATCAATAATTTGGAATACTATGTAAAATGCTTAATTACCTTAATCTGGAAAGTATAGCATCTAGCACTAAAGGCTAAATTGCGTTGTCTCCTATAAATTAGGATGTTTTAATATTCGCAATAGCTCTATCTCGCTACATTCGCAATTCAAAAGAATATGCAATAAAAAATTGAATAATATTCCTACAATGTTCTCTGTATTGGATTATTACTTATTTTCATTAAGCTATTTCAAGGAAGCGAATAAATAAAATCTAAATTCAATATAAACAAAACAATTCCTTTTCATCCATCATTGATATTAATCATTTACCTTATTTTAATGTCTTCATAACGTTTAATATAACTGGCCTTAAATTTAACGGATCACTTTCTAAATCCCTAATTTTATTAATAACAATACTACCAGTAAGCTGAATTGCTCCACGCTGTGGTTATGCTAAGCAAATTTGAAATCTTCACAAGTAAAAACAACATCATTCACCACTACCCGAAGCGAATACTGAAAAAGTCTTCCTGAACTGTCCTTGGGATTTTCTAGAGGATATGCTTATTTCATTTTCTCGGTGCTAAAAGGTGGCATAATTTGAACTCCAGCCAATTTATAAGAAGTAATTATCAATTAAATCGTAACTTTGAGTGTTAATAAAACTGAGTCCAACATTTTCATACAAGCAGAATTAATTGAACGGTACAAAATTAATGAATTGTTGGTATGCACAATAAGTTTAGACTGATTTCCAGCTGAAATGATTGACCTCAGGTGCATTAGAGCCATAAATTATAGAGTCGATAGTTAATTCAGATTTGTTAATCATTCCTATCCTACAGACAGAGTATTTTTTGTTCTAATTTTCGCTGAAAAGCTTCCAAGTTGTCTGATTTTCGTTACATGGTTAAGAACTAAGTTAAAATTTGTGCAATTTCCTATTCCAGTGCTAGATCATCTGCCTTCTATGCATTCTGTTGGAGGAAGGTGGTGTGTAAAGATGGTACCAACCAACCCAACTAAGTTACCAGTTTTATATATACAGGGAATCGTAAACAAGGATCAGTAATACAGTAAAGGGTTGCCACAATTTGAAAAGGGGAAGGTGAACTATCCGTCAAGCAAATGGTATGCAGACCATATCCAAAAATCAAATGAATTAGGACACTGGTAGAACTCAAATTTTACTCTACAGAGTGCACGACATTACCGAGGCTGAGTAAAATAATCTCAAGTTGCCTCGAACAGTCTAGAAGGTGCGACATTGCCGCTGATCACGTGGCAAGCAAGTGAGTGGTGAGTGCAGAGGCCTTTCCCCCAATCACCAATCAACGGTCGCTACGCATTACCATAACTCTAATTGCGTTTTAATAACAGGTATTGTAGTAGTTGGTCATGTGGTTGTATTAAGTGTCATCTACTCCACAATTTCTCATCTCTCTATTCTGGTGTTATAGGCTAGCTAATTGCAGGAGCAATTTTATCCTTAATTAAATTCGCTGTTAATCAATTTCAGTTACTTTCCTATCGGATCTTACCCAAACTTTTACGCCGTACATCAACTTAGTGTCTTCAATTCATTGAACCACCAATTGGGAAATGATGATATAAAGTGTATGATGACGTAATGAGTAACCTTATGCCAACTAACTAGCCCATTTTTAGTTCCAATTCGTCATATACACAATATTTCTCACGTTGAATTTTTTCTTCAATATTTTAAAGCAACACTTAATTCAGATCGTTGGGTTAAAGAATTTATTTTTTTGAATTTTATAATATACTTCAGCTTTAAGGCATCGAACTACCTGTTGATTTGGATGGAATTATAATGGGGAAAATTGTCCATTTATTTAAAGGTTCATCCAGAAATCCAGCTGTGAACTATATTGAATAATGAATATAAATAAGTTTTTTTCAAGAAAAATTAGCCTTTTTTATGCTATATAATAATGCAAAGACTTGTTTGTGACCCTTGCTCAAAAGATTTCATTGACTAGTGGGTGAGTTCATTTCTATATATGATTAATAACTAAAATATCTAGCCATATTTGATGGAATTCATAACACTTCTCATAAGTTCAATAATCTTGCCAAATAGCAGTGGAGAAATTAATGCTTTATCAACATTGTTCACTCTTTTAAAATGCATTGCTTTAAGTCTAAAAATACCTTGCCAACCATCTAAAGCGAGCCTAAGGGTGCTACACATAAAATCATTTAAGAATACACATATCAACGGATCGGTGTGAATATATTGGTACGTATTCATTAAAAACTCCACGAATTTCCGCCGATAATTGATGGAAATTAATGTTATTGAATCCTTGTCGAATGATTTACTCTAAAATTAAAATGTCTTATCGAAACTTGAGAATCAAGATAGTTAGATAATAAACTGTAAATTTCTAGACGATTACCTCCCCACCCCCTCCATAAAAAATTCGTTGAATATGCAACAGTCTCAAAGTTCTATCGGCTCTCTCCAACTGTAAGGCGATAATATTGCATTGATCATTCATCAGGCAAACAAATGGTGCACTACAATCAATTCAGCTCTGCGTGCTGCAGTGTGGCCTATTTATAGTAACCCCTTGTCATTCATCCTGCGCGGATGTTTTTCTTCTGTTCCTTTCAATCGACCACTTTCTTCTCATTCCTTCTATTTTTCTCATCTATGTCTCATTCAGGTCCTGAAAATCTGATTTATGAGAGGCCGTTGTTTTCTTTTAGTGGCGAGACCATTTAGTATTTTTGTAAGGGAATATCGCATAATTCAAGGTAATCGGCTTATACGGACAATATACTTCTATATTTATTACTGCTTTAAATCGTGCTCTTTTCTTTATAAATTAGGGCATAATTATTTTTAAATTCCAGTGTTAGAGGGATAATTGATGTATTCAGCCGAAGAAAGCAATTTTCGAAGAATATATGGCGAAACTTTTTTCAGTCATTGTAGGTTGCATAAAGTTGCGCGAACAGGGATAAGCAAAATGCTGAGACAAACTGAAGATGATGTGAATTTAATTTGTGGTTATCAGCCCGAATTTCGTTTTAAGATGATAATGACAAAATCCAGATGAGTGTATTTTAGACGGTTTAAACAAGAGGAGTTACAAATATCCTAATTGCACATCAAACATGTTCTTTGTCTCTAACACTGGGACGTGTTATAGGTAATGATTAATCGCCTTGTTCTTCTTGTTTCAACAGCAAAGAGCTTTGCCTTGTTCACCATTCTACCATGGCATACTTACCGATTTCTATTCATTCATGACAATACTGGAACAGTAAGGTTCGATGACTTTGTATATTCTTACTGCATCTGTTATATTTTTTCTGAATTTCTACATCTCCATATTTAGAGTCTTTTACATTTTAAATTTCAAGCAGCCGAGTATTGTATTACTTGATTTAATCTATCTATCACGTTTTTCCCCGCCAACTTAACCAATTCATGTTTCTTGAATTTCACTATGGAGTATTTTTCGAAGCATGATGAAGACATATTGTTAAAAGAATGGTAAGGAAGACAAAAGTTGGTTTGAGCGAAGAAAACAAACCTTGAAATACCCACACAAGTCGTTTCTTACTATCGATATTTAATCGAACGCTTAACGTCATAAAATAAAACACAAGGAGTCAACGGAATTGAGATCAACTTTATAATGACACAATAGGCGTTTTCTCAACGTCCTGTCATCGTGGCTTCAAAACAACTCAAGATCAACAGCAGAAAAAAATTGTCAAGGCCGATAATCATGTGGGCAACCTTGAAACGTTAGCCAATGGGTGGGTGTTTTATATGCTTGAACTAGTCTCGCGAAAATCCACACGAGTTAGCTAAATCAACCACTCTAACTATGGCAGCTGCGCTTCTAATCGTTGGCCCATTGGCTAAACAAACGGAATGACTGTCCTCTCTTCAAAAATAGGGGACGCTTTGATACAAGAATTGATTTGAATTGATAACGATCTGTTGGGAACAGGCTAGTGGGTTCAATGTTGAATCTCTAATGGGCTAATCGGGCCTCCCGGTGAACTGAAACAAGAGCGTAATCAAACTGAAGAGAGAAAGAATCGAACATGGTGGATATTCAAGAGCTTGTTTTTTCTACGCTCAACCAAGAAGTAATCCTGCCGACACAGAGGGGGAGAGATCGGAGTTCAGAAAGAAAAAAATGTTGGGAAAAGTAGCAAGAAACGAGGTTTAATGGTGGTTAAAGAAAGAATAGTGATAAAGGATAAAGGTAATACTGCACATGCTTGGAGATAAGATACACAGAGATGAGTATTCTTGGCATCAACATGCTTAGAGCTCCTCATTTCCATGCTTGATCAAACGGACCAACTTCTCGTAGTCCACTTGTCCGCCTTGGATAGGGGCCTCTTTCCAGGTTTGTCGGATCTGCAAAAAGATGAGTGATAATTCAATTGAGCCAATTAAATATACATTAACATTTCTTGGTTCAACTGACCTCCTCAGGGCTGAAGTTATCACCCATGTGTTCAAGAAGATCTTTGAGGCTAGATCGCGAAAAGTTGAGATTAATTACATTTGAACTTTGGCCAAATTAGGTGACGTGTTGAAAGGAATACACTCACTATTCTTCTGAGATGGACTTCTTGTTATCCTCATCAAACATGGCAAAAGCGTTCATCAGAGCGCTCTCGGGATCAGTGCCATTAAGCTTCTCACCGAAGAGGTTGATGAACATGGTGAAATTGAGAGGACCAGGGGATTCCTCCAACATCTCCTTTAACTCTTTATCGGCGGGAGTACGACCCAAAGAAGCATACATGTCCTTCAAGTCCTCAATATCGATAAAGCCATCACGATTTTGGTCAATGAGAGTGAAGGCCTGTAAGAACACAAAGTGTTTGATTAGTTTAAGGAGTTTAGAAGGGGTCATTAGAGGACTTCATGAGTGGATGTTTTACCTCCTTGAATTCCTGAATTTGATTTTGAGGGAACATACCGAAAACGTTGGAAGTGGCTCGCTGAGCGCGCTTGCCTTCCTTCCTTTCACTGCTACCTTCAGCAGCTTCACCGCCGTCGGGATCCTTCTTGGACTTCTTGTGCTTCTTCTTCTACTCATTAAAGGGATAATAGCAGAATAAGTGATCCGTATAACTTGGCACAAAAACTCTCTACTTATATATGTTAAGTAGTCGTGTTAATATCAGCATAAATAGAGAACATGCAATTAAAGAATTTCGATATATCCGGGTGGTTTAGTTATCGTTTCTGCTAAAGCCAATATAAGTGGGTGCTTTGTAAAAGCTTTACTGAAGCGTGCTGTTTCATGCTAAATTGCACTTGGTTATTTGTCGATTGTTACCTCTTCGCTTTTGACCTTTAGACAGAGATCAGAAAGTATTTATAAATGTTAGTGCATGATAGGACAAGAAATTCAGTAATTAGCATTGTTAATTTCTATTCCTATTCTAAATAAAACACGATAAGAAGTAAAGAAATACATAAAACGTAAGTAATATAGTAAGTTAGCATTTATTATCATGAGAGAATCAATCGGTTAGAACAAGTATTTACATACAATAACAAATTCACCCAATTGAAACATATAGAATGCACACATAGATGAAATTTCAATAACATTTTTCAGTTAGAACACACACACACACACGGACACCACTATACACAGAGTATGCAAGTTCACCATTTAACTTACATCTTTCTTTTCCTATATCCAAGAAATAGAGGGGATTCATTAAAAAATTCTCAGTAAAGACTAACAAGGCAATGACATTCATGTGACTTTGCGTTGATGCAACTTAATAAAGTGCATTCATGATTATACGTGTTGGAAAGTGATTGCTTTAATAGTTATCAAGATTTGATACGTAGCAAAGTTTCATAAAAAGTAATGTTACAGTTGGATTCTGTATTAAAAAATATGATGCGAAATCTTCAACGTTGGGATTCTATTTAAAGGGTCATAAAATTTAGGAAACTAGCTTATTAACAGGCTGGGAATATCTATAACGCATGAATACCATATCGATGGGAAAATGATTTTTTAAAATACCTCTCAGAAAACAATAGAATTAATTATGGGCCATTTATTCCCGGGCTGAACCATACATATTTCGCATGAAGAACCGACAAATATGTTACACAAGTTCCATTTTAATTTACCTCATCTGGGTTGGTCTGGAGTAAAAGGAAAGTACCATTTAAATGCGTGTCAGAAGCTAATTGCCTTTCCACCACTTTAGGACTTTATTGGATGTTGCGATTATACAAGTTTTATTCTAATCAAATGAAGGACACTTTATTAGAAGGAAAATTGAAATCCTGAAGATGAAGAAATTTCAAATCTTTTCTTGGGATTTAAGCCATAGAAATAGTTGCAATTGAAGGCACAAGTATTTTAAGTTAAGTGGGAGGCAAATGTATTTTGATAATCACTAAGCTGTGTTATAACAGTCATTTTTAAATAAAAGTATGGTAAAAGCATACTACAAAAATGGAAAAACAAAATATTGAGGATTGATTTCTATTCGGGAAGTCATTTCAGAAGGAGTGGCCCAAATAACAAAATTTTATTTAAAACCCGAACCAACGTTAATAATTTCACTCGTTAAACTAAATTTTAAAAAAATTTGGCATTCAATTTAATTAAACAAAATTATGCGTTTTATTAGTAAATATGGGCAAAATTAGAATTCCATTTTTTAAGTTTATCACCTAGTTTCAGGAAAGTTAGAAGAATAATAAATAAAATTTTTAAAAGATAACTAAATATTAAAGGGAAATATCACTCAGTGCAAATGACTAATTTTTAACATCAAAGAATTATTGTTATTTTTGATAAATGACAACCGTTTATGTTTAAAAAACTTACTAATTTACAATACCTCACTTTAAAATTTCAAATTTGCAATTCTTACATAATTTCACGCAGCAAAAATCGATTAATTTAGGAGACATGGAAATTATCCCACCGAATTTTCCTGTGGACTATTTCTGGCCACACATATAAATAATAACTTTCAGGTGGAAAATTGCGGCATAAAAAGAAATGCCTGTTTGCAATACATACATGTATATATATATATATATATATATATATATATAATATGCACATTCAATTTGTTGGTGTTTTTGACATAAATTTCAGATTAGTACTAACTTCTGGTTGAGCCGCCTTTATAGCAAAAATAACAGATATATAAATTAAATCAAACGCCGTATAAGGGAAAAAGGTCCTCCAATGCGTGTGCACTCCAGAAATTTTTTAACCAAGGGACTTACTTCCTCAGGCTTTGCCTACATAACTTAAAAATATTAAAAAATATCAACTGCCGGTAATTGGAATTCGATAGTGGCACACATTTGTGCAGTGAATGGTGTTCAATTCAATCATATTGAAAGGGATGCAAGTGCAACATTTTTCTATCGGTGTTTTTAAACAATTCATGAATACAGATAACATATTTATCATACGGATTCGATAAGTAAGGGGTTATTAGTTTGGTTCGCTTACTTCTTCGGGTTTTGGCTGCAAGTATTAAAATATTGGTGCATGAAAATTGGTGGTGAATTTAAGCAGTAGTGTGAGTAATAAAATAAACAGAATTTTAGAGTAATTCTTAAGTAGTAATATTAGGAATAGATGTCTTGGAACAGAATGCATTGAAATAATTCGTCCGAAAAATAAAAAAAGAAAGAAGGTTTCATTACAGTAACATAATTTGAAATGTTTGCAAATAAAAATTTGTAGGTTTCTAAAAATGATCCCTTGGTTTAAATTTACAAAATATAAATAGTAACTTCAACTGTCTTTGAATGTACGCTAACTTGGTGTTCTATTCCTAAGGGGGTAAAGTTTTAACACTAGAAGGTGCACATGCAAATTCTCCAAAGAAATCAATTAGCCAACATACCTCCTCCTTTGGTACCTATAAAAAATGGCACAAATATTTCAGTATACGAATTTCAGTCCTTTCATTAAGGAAAAAAAATTAAAAATTGTCAAAGTTGTTGAAAATTCTACATTGACATATGTATATCTCTTCAAATAATTCATGAATGTTTGCATTCAATTAAAAGCTATTTAACAATGTGATAGTAAGTAGGTATACATTTGCTAAAATATTTAAGTTGTATTTAATATTTTTTAACTTACGTCGTCAGCCATGGTGGTTTAGTGAATACGAGTAAAGAATGAAGTCGAGTGTGCGGAAGGCGAAAAGATCCCCAAAGTGTGAAGAGGGAAATTAGCTTATACAGAAGGTTCGTGCACACTTTAAGTAGATCGCACGCACCCGCTCCCTGTCGAGCGTACGATTGGCCATTTTTTAATGACCTTGCAGATTTCCGCAAACTCTGCAGCCAATTACGCACTCCAGTCATCCGCACGCACGCAATTTAAAATCGATGAGCCGTGATGACGTCGCTGCGTGCAAGTGCAGACTATCGATTGATTAGATGCTGTGGGGAATTATTGGGCGAATCATTTGCGTTCGTAGGTGCAATCGTATGACTACCAACATAGGGGGTGAACGTGACGAAGCCCCTATGTCCAGAGGATCAGATATGCTTTAAAGCGTTTCCGTGCAGAAAATGTGAAAGGACTTTTCTTAGTTCCAGCAAATTATTCTAAGACACTATTCCCAAAGACACCATTATTTTACGTAAAATAAACTTTTTTTTTACAAAAATAAAGCATCTAAAGTAGTTTGAAGCAGACCAACCTCACTTAGATGAATGAATAAGTTAAATAAATTGCATGATCTAAACAGTTCTTATTTTGGGAGGAACATAAATAATCTATTTACGAAAGAAGTACATGCTTATGGTGATATCAGCAATCCTTGTCACAGAAGCTAAAGTTTGAGACAAAAAAATGCTCCAATAGATGAGTTTAAAGATTTTTGTTTGACGATTGTACACGATTATGGAGTTAATTTTACTGGGCAAACACACATGTCGACTCATATCTGCTCTGTCCTGAGAATGCCAGTTGATGATTTCCAATTGGATTCCTATTTGATTAACATGGAGCAAGCTGTTTCGTCATTGCATCACATTCCACATTGTTTAAGCAGATATTTGTTCCAATTTCTCTAAATCGTACTATTATTATTGGCTTTCCGATCAATGTATAGAGCGTGTAAATTTAGGCAACATCTTGACTGATCTTCACCTAAGTAAAGAATTAATTTTGGGAAACAGTACAAAGTCCCTTGTTTTCGCACCCAATTACAGCATACTTACTGGGAGATAGGAGTGTGCTAACCTAACATGGACAAATACTTTATTGCAATTTGATGCAAATTTTAAATCAATACCATTGTTTTCCCGATTACAGGCCATGAAAGAGTGTACTTATTTGAAAGGTCTTTACAAGTTTCTTTTCTAAGTGACAATTTTTTCTTTAAACACTCGAGTTTGCAAATAATAAAACTCGGGTCATATTAATGATTAAGTTAAATTAAAATTAATCATATAAAGCAGAGATTATTTTTCGAGAATGACCTCAGGTAATTGACCTCTCTAGGACAAGTGCCATTAAAATACGTAATCACCAACTTGACCTAGCAGCTAAAGAAGATCCTACAGGATGCAGTAGACGAATTGGTGCCTCTGAAATTGAAGGAGAAATGAATAACCATTAGTTTGCAGAAGTCTTATGGAGTAAATATCTCAAAATCCTGCCCACGGCACTTAAATAACTCCATTATTTTGATATCAAACTATCACCTTCGTAATCCCTGCTCAAATCTCACCCTAACCTGACAGGCTTTTTGGAAAGTGAATATTTTTCTAGAGTATAAGGGCACATATTGAGCAAATATGGTAGTTGAAATGACTTCTATAAATTACTTTAAAATCATAGATAATACATTTCCTATTTATTTTCGGTTTATTTCTGACAAGATATGATTTTGTCAAAAACCTTACTCTTAAGATCCTGTGGTGTTTATTGCATTTTAGACGTATACTAGAGAGAATCTACTGAAAATCACAATTGAATATGCATAAATTGACGTTCTTACATTAATAGCTTAATTTCTCTAAGGTAATTCACCTAATATATATATATATATATATATATATATATGATAAAAGAAGACCAACCTTGGGGTGTGCGATAGACTTACCTCCACGTGGTGCACCCTGGGCAACGTATACTCTTGCGGCAAAAAGTCTATAAATCGGCAGTTGACTTCTCACTTCAAACAACCATCACCTCCACTGTATGTCATATTCGACCCCTAACACTACTCATCTTACTCTTTCTGAGCCTTTGTGTCTGTTTCTTTTATATCTTAAAACACCCTTCTATTCCCCCTCCTGAATTCTTCTCACTTTGATGTTCCTCCTCCCCTCTGTGAAGCCCGAAGTCCTCTAAAGGTCTAATGATAACTATCAAAACGCCTGTCATTTGTTATAAATAAATAAATGATAATAGAAGACCAACTTTGATGGTGGAGCATTGGTTATGAGGATGTGCAAAAGTAGTGCCATTTAATTTAAAGGATTGCATTAGATATTAGTTTAATTTGTAGTGCACACACTGACATAAAATCTGAGAGCAGTAGTAATTGTCACCGAGGCTACTAAATCGCTACTCATTCACAGACAACGGATCCGAAACCACACAACTTCCTCCATCAAATCACATTATTCTCTCTCAGTGCTGACTCCCCTTTCTGGCCTTCCAATGGCTTTTTTACAACTAATCCTTCCACTCCTATTCGAGATAATTTTAACTAAGTTTCGAAATCATTAACCGAATTCCACTCCGAGTAAAGAAATCGAACCCTTAAAATAATGATTTATTAAAGAGGTCGACTTCCAGTCAATTCCAATAAATTAAAGTACAATTCATCTCATAGAACTTTCAGAAAATCCATTGAACCTTCTCAACGTTAATAAGAGCCATAAAATGTTTGAATCACTACATGTTGGACAGAATCCGACATTTATTTGGAAACTCGAAATAACATTGACACTTCCCGAAACATTCTTTTTATGGTCAACGTTTCTTACAAATAAGTGAGAGGAAGTTTGTGGTGGTGTAGTTAACGAAAACTAACTAGCATTTGAACGAAAAATCCTTTGCACCCCATTCTTCAATTCGTCAGGTCTTTGGCACACTTAGGGGATCATTAGTGTGGCTTTGTCTCCTGTTATCGAAAGTACTCAATGTACAAAGGACTTTGGGATTAATTAGAAAAATCCCTCCAATTTCAATAATTTAAAATTTTGTTTTCTTTCAATGATTTATGATTTATATTGTCATAATGTCTTATTTTTGGACGAATTTGGTGACGCAATTTTGTTTTGTAATCATTTTATTTATTTATTTATATCAAATGGCAGGCGGTTTGATGGTTATCATTAGCCCTTTAGTTGACTTCAGGCTTCACAGAGGGAAGAAGGAACATCAAAGTGAAAAAAATCGAGAGGGAGGGGGAACAGGAGAGTGATTCACAGATCTTAACGAAACAGAAGGGTGCTTCAAAGATGTAAAAGAGACAAACACAAAGGTAGGAAAAAGGTGAGGTAAGTACTGTAGAAGTAGTCGAATATGACATATAGTGGAGTCATGGTAGTTTGAAGTGAGAAGCCAACTGCCGGTTAATAGACTTTTTTGCCGTATGAGTATACGTTGCCTAGGGTGCACCACGTGGAGGTAAGTCTCCTACTGAAGGTCACTAAAAGCAAATAAATTTTAAATTTAGTACTGCCAAATTTCGTTGGTTTAAGCATTTTAAAACAAGCCATCTTCTTCTGGCCCATATGTCGGTGTTCTGTTACAGCACTGTCCTCTCAGTAATGTTTCTTGATTGTACTTCATTTAACTAGGCAAATATTTTGTCTGCCAAAATGTTGTATTATTCTAGCATAGGTGAGATATTCTTCATTTCATAGTCACATTATATCACTACTAACCCTTGACGATATTAATAATAATAATAATAATGTTATGCTAACATTGGAGGCACAATTTCTCCACCTCGTTTACTAGGAAAGTTACATTGAGAGAAGCCAATAGTGAAATGACTTGCTTAACTGAGAATCCAAATTGAGGCTGTATCGTGTGCTTAGGTGGTTGCTGAAGAAGTTTACAATATTTCTTAACATTTTTAAACAATACTAATTTAATTATTTTGAAAAAATACTTGCCTTATGTTTATAATCGTTTCTGTAGTGAAGTATTGTTTGGTGATTAGTACTTGCCACCATCGTAATAACTCAGTCAGCAGCGCTATGTCTTCTTCGTTTTCCTTCCTCCCGTGCCCTCCTGCTCTATTGCCGATCCTTCCTTGCTTTAAATGTTTAGTTTTACCCTCAGTTGAATCATTGGATCACTCCGATTCCAGTTGTCTACTTTCTGATGATCGCTGTTACAGTTCATTACAGTATCAAAACTACAAGCAGATTATGCAATAGTTGGCTTTCTTCTACTGCTTTTAAAATTCAATTAAAAAGTGAATCCTCCTTTTACAAAGTACAGAGTTTAACAGTGAATATCATTAGTGCAGTATATGGTTGCTACTATGCACATCGCCATTTTAAGTGTATGCAAATAAAGGGGTTATATTAACCTCAGGTTTTGTTTACAAAATTTTGTTTTACTTCCTCGCATGGCAAAGACATCCCGAAATGCTAATTTTAGCAAGTCTGAATGAACTTTCTAATTGGTATTCATCCAATAAATTTACAATCGAACTGCATCCTCTCCAAATTAAAGAATGTCAAGCTAGCTTCGTCCGCATTTCCCCCGATTTTTCACGGTGGAAGTGTATTCAAACATGATACTAGCCATTGTGCAAAGTTTGACGGAAATAATTATTATCTTACCGCACGCTTTTGTGGGTTGGTACAACTTGGGGGGTCACGTAAGCAATAACTTCCTCAATGAATTCTAGTAAAAAGAAATTGAGGACCTAACTACAAATAATAGAGCGACTAAAGGATTTAAATTTAAAGAGTTGGTACTATATACGCTTTAAATTCACATTTTTATGTTTTGGAATGTTTGCTGATTTGGAACTTTTTTTTACTTAAATTTTTTTTCCAGATAATTATTTCCATGTTAATATATGGACTTATTGATAATATATTTGTAATTAATTAATGATTAAACACTTGAAAGCCAACAATTTTATTTAAAAGAAAGAAATG